ATTTATATTTCTATCGTAAAAAATATAAAAAGAATTTTAATTGCATCTTAATCCAGATAATATCTCATATTTTTAGAATAATACGAATTAGTTAATATAATCGAAAGGGAAATGTGATTCTTTGTTTTTGTTCGAATAATCTTAATTCCATCGTATGAGATGTCTGAAATAAGGTATTGAATACAAAAGTTAAGATGTCAAACAAGGGATGATCATTACCTGAAACAAAAGATTATCTACTAAAAGAAGAAAAAGAAAATAAAGGAATAGAAAATAAGAATTTTTCATATTATTTTTTTTAAAGATGATAAAAGATATTGACAAAAAATCATCTTATTGATTCTTTTAATTTTTATAGATATCGAATCATCGTACTTTGATAATCACATCACAAAGTACAAATAGTGAAACGAATCGTGATTGAAACCCAAACGTTAAAACGCAAACAACAAACACATTGCATGATACGTTATTTAACACAATACATAAAGTGTAACGCGAGATATGGTGCATAAAACAAAACTTTATAAATGACTCAATGGCTACAATGAAGAGAATGTGAAGAATTACGATAGATGATGAGATAATATTTAAATAGTATTAATAATATGTTGCAGTAGCAGTAATAGTGGTGATGATAATAATAATAAGAAGAATATTAACCAATGAAAAAAAAAATATCGATAGAAAATAGAGAGAAAAAAGAATAAATACAGAATGGTAAAGAAAAATATATAGAAAATATAAACGTAATATATACGGGTAGGCTTCATAAATGAAATGAAGTTGTAAACAGCGAAAATGTTTATTGCAAAATATATAAATATGTACATTGGTGTCCACGTTGAGCTAATAGCTGAATATTTTCACAATAAAAACGAACATGTGTCTACTTCTACCATTTTATACTACTCTCACACACTCTTTCTTTCTCTCTCGTGTACTCTCTCTGATACATCCATGCCATACTAACTAGCTTTGTCAAAATATACTCCACTGTACACTCCACAAAGACTCCTCTATGTTCATAATAGATCGCATAAAATTATTTGTAATTGTATAACAATATTTGATATTTAAAAACGATCACAATAAATGTATATAAAAATTTATAATTTTTTTTTTTTTGGAACTATATACCATATAATAAATTTTTTATCTAATATCATAGAGAATAAAAATCATACTATTTGTTAAAACAAAATCTTGTGCGATCTATAACATTGTTTCATTAGCAGGCTTCAGCAAATCTTCAATGATTGCTTTCTCGCGTGTTCATAAAATAGAAACTTCTGTGATCACGAGCCATTTACTATTCTGTACAGTATTAGGAACGTGGGAATAATTTTACAAAACTTTGGCACATTCGTACGTTAATAATGAAGGAACTTCGACGATGGAAAACTTGATTGAAAATCATTCGATACACGTATATATATGCTGTTCAAATTCTATTTATATAGGGACGGCTATGTTTCAATGATAAAATATTATGAAATTCCCATTACAATAATACGCTCTTCACGGAAATTTTATATCCTTACCCGTTTTCCTTATGATTCGATTTTGATCGCTACTAGTGCTTCTCGAGATGCTTTCATTACGTACTTGTGCATAATTAGCAAATTTGTGCTCTATATTAGCGTGATTACTGGCAACAAAATACTCAGCTACGTATGTGGACACCAGTGGATTGGTTTGATTCTCATTAAATGAAATTTTTACTTACTAAACATCTCAAGATAAAACATGATTGTTTCGAAACGAAATGCAAAGTGAACAATGAAATCAATTATGAAAAGAACAAAATAATAAATGAATCGAAGAACGTTATAAAACTGAACCAAAATAAACCTATCGAAAAAAATATGTGTGCCGTGTTAGCAATTAGTTACACCACAATACAAAACCCAAAAGTGACCAACTGACATTCAATAAACCCAGGATATTTGATCGATAGCATTGATTATCAAGGAAATGCAGGTATCCGAAAAATGGATATCGGGATAGCCAACTAGATTTTATAATTTTTGTATACTATACATGTGTGCATAAAACACATGGTTTGAAATAAAATTTCCTTTTAAAAAATTTCCTAAAAATCGATATGAGACGCAATCAATGCGTGCATAATTTTCGGATATCCGCACAGGATTTATCGCATTCTCTGCAGTCACTTAATTACCTTAAGTCACTATTACGATTATTAGAATTTTTCTGGACGGCTAAATTTGACTGTGATAAATGATTTTAGTAGAGAGAAATTGATATTCGCTCATTCTCGCTTCGAGCAGCTGTTTTTCGGTAAATAAAAAAATAGAAAATAAGATAAAAAATAAAAATAAAGGAATGATATATAATATACGAATGAAATTGTTATGGAATAGAAGATTTACATAATCGAAGAATCCGCTGATTCGATATTGAACTTATCATGCATTAAGACAAAATAAAATAACGTTTCACTGAATCGAATAAATAAACTTAAACGATCAGTGATAGCGATTATATAATAAGGAAGCTAAAAAATATTTATCAATAATTCTAGCTTATAGCTTACAGCTCTATACAAACTGGAATCTTAAATAACAAGATTATTATATCGCTACTTAATTGTAAATGGCAGAATTATACGCGTTTATATATAAGTACCATTCTTTTTTGAGCATTTTACCCCTTTGCATTTCAATTTTCCAAATTCTTCTTCACCCCTATTTCCCTATCCGTACATTTAAAATATGTTCCAAAGATTTTTTCTTTTTTTCCTTTCTTTTCTCTTTTTTTTTTTTTTTTTTTTTTTTTTTTTT